TAAAAAATGCACAACATAATTAGTCACTAGGGAAGCACAAATGAAAACCACAGTGAAATACCACTTCACACCTACTAGGATGCCCATAAAAGAAAAATAAAGTGGAAAATAGCAAGCGTTGGTGGTGTGATGTGGAGGAATTGGAACACACACTGCTGGTAGCAGTGTAAAATGGTTTAGCTGTTGTGGAGAATTTGCTCTTTCCATAATAAGTTAATCACAGAATTACTATAAAAGCCAGCAATTCCATTCCTAGATGTATACCAAAAATAATCAAAACAGATGTAAAAACATAAAAGCCACTTGTATGTGAATGTTCATGGCAGCCCTAGTCACAATAGCTAAAAAGGAGAAACAACCCAAATGTTCATCAACAAATTAAACCAAATGCTCAACAGACGGGTGAACCAAAGGAGTCATATGATAGAACCTTATCAGCTATAAAAGAGAATGAAGTGCTGACACATGCTATGACTTAGATGAACCCTGAAAGTATTATGCTAAATGAAAGAAACTGTACAGAAAAGCCACATCTTCCATGATTCCACCTGTGTGGGGTTTCCACAACAGACAAGCCCCGAGAGACAGAGAGCAGGTTAGTGGCTGCCAGGCATGGGGAGAGTTGGCAAGTGGAGGGTGACTACTTAATGAGCATGGGTTTTCCATTTGGGGCAATGAAGAAGTTCTGGAACTTGACAGTGGTGATGGTTGCATGATATTGTGAATGTACTTAAGTCCACTGACTTGCACACTTTAAAATAGTTATAATGGTAAATTTGTATGTTATGCATATTTCACCATAATAAAAATAAATTTAACCTATAAGAAAAATGTTAGCTCATAGCTGAGGTATACACGCATAATAAAATGATTGGATTTTTTAAAAAAGAGTCTATAGCAGTATGTGCCAAAATTAGTATAATAAGTAAATATTTCAGACTATCTCCTCCACTACATCAGACATCCTTGAGTAGACAGACTAGATTCTCATGGTCTGTAAGCAATGCTTGGCAGTTTACAAACCTAAAATAATGTTCTATTCTTAAACAGAAACAATTCTGTGTGTTCATTACAATGAAATCATAATTGTACAATAGGGGAAAAAATCCCAAAGGCTTCTTTCCATCCTATTTTACTCCCCTGATACATAGCATCCCTCCCGAATGCTCCAGGGGATACAATAAGTATCTCACGATTATAAGGTCTTTATGTGACACTTTGTCTTTTGGGGTCTCCATATATTTCTCTTTCTGGAAACTCCGTGAACCATCCTCACTCCTTTGACTACCAATTTTCTCAGAAAATATTAAGTGCTTTCTTTTTTTTAGCTAAGATCCACTCTGATTTAAAGACTTAACACTGTGCCCCAGACATAGATTTGAACAGAATTTAGCATGTCTCCAGCCACAGAGTTGGAGATTTCCACTATTTGGTGGGCTTTAAAATCCCCTGGCTGATCTTCTATTTTTAAGGCCACATGTACTGAATTCATGCATGTTATAAATCCTTGAAATAAAACGTTGCCCATTTTACAACATATCCACCCTGAGTAAAGGGAGACGCTGCTGCCGGCTCATCACCAGTAAGTGACGTTCGTGGGTCTGTTCACCTGTTTCGTGTCATTCAGGATAAACTGGGATCACAGAGTTCATGATAATTCCACTTGAGGGTGATGAGCACTGATCTATTTAAATGATCTGATTTTTCTCTCCTTGTGGGGTTTGGTATTTTATCAGGTTGCCTACACTCTGGGGTAGTTTGCGACTGCACAGTTAACTCAGACAAAATCTGAACTTAAGAATTTCCTAAACTGTCACTATGCCATCTTTCTTCATGATAATGGCATAGTATTTAAGATGAGGTCACATTCTGAAAAGTGAATTTTTATCACGACAGTTTTGATGAATCTCTGTGGGTGAGCTAAGCTTCCTTTACTAGGAATGCTATTTTTGTACTAAGAATCTGGACAGCACGGCCCAGCCCCGGCGGCAGTCAGCAGCTCGGGGCTTTGGGTGAGTCACCGAACATTTCTACAGATAGATCAGAGCACTTCAGAGGCCTCTTTTTCCTCAAAAATTCTACTAAACTATTACCTCGTGAGTGACCTTATGGCCCTTATCTCTTGGCAACATTTATACATTTTCTGCATTTTATCAACCGAGAGTCAACAAAGTTTCTATCTCTCCACAGAGGGGATACTGGCACCCACAGGTGACAATGCAATTATCAGTTAAGCCTTTTATTTTTCAGTTAATCCGTGGTGACTCAGCATGTAGGACAATCACCGTGTGTCAAGATTTAGTTTCGTAGTTTCACATAACTCTTCCAATTCGCCTCTTCTCTCCCTCGTTAACATCATGGAAGCTCTCATGTTCTGACAGTCCACCTGCCCCCCGCCCCATTCGGAGGAGGTTGGAATGTGTCCTTCTGGAAGCTTCCTCCCAGAGTGTTAATGCTCCCCTGGCCTGCGATATGCAAATCGGACAACTGTCTCAGCATTTGGGCACTGCAAAGTCGGCCCTGGCACGGCTTCCGTGTGTGGACTGTGGCCAGGCCGGTTCTCTGAGCTCCACTTCTATCTATGCACAGCGGAAGACCTTCGTGTATTTTAAAGCACTATGAAGGTACATGTGTGCTCATGTTATTTCGTTTGATCAACTTCCATTATAGAAATAGGTAAGTTCCACTCTCCATGATTTTAGGAGGGCTGACAGTTGAGTTTACAGCTGTTCTAGTCCCCAAATCTGTATGAACTCTAGCTATAATAAACTGATTCAGCCGGGCACGGTACCTCACACCTATAATCCTAGCACTTTGGGAGGCTGAGGTGGGAGGATCACTTGAGGTCAGGAGTTTAAGACCAGCCTGAGCAAGAGCAAGACCCTGTCTCTACCAAAAATAGAAAAATTTAGCGGGGCATGGTGACACATGCCTGTTTTCCCAGCTACTCAGGAGGGTGAGGCAGGAGGATGGCTTGAACCCAGGAGTGTGAGGTTGCTGTGAGTTATAATGACACCACTGCTTTCTACTCAGGGTGACAGTAAGACTCTGTCTCAAAAATAAAAATAAAAATAAAATAAATTGATTCTTCTTTTTCAAATTCAGACTAGAATAAATTAATGTTTTCGGCAAGAAGGGCCCCAGAGGTTTTCAGCGACATTGAAAGCAGGCTGAGATTGTCTCATTTCCCCTATATGGTCTTCACACACTGTCCCTGCTAAGTCAGAGTTTGTTTTGTTTTACTCCATTTGTGTAAGAGCAGAGGATAGTCTGGGCCCCTTTGCAGGCCTCTAGCAGTTCCAAGAGTTCTGTCCTGACCGCACTACTGAGAGATCGCGTGGGGTGTCCTGCACTGCACCCTTATATTCCTCTAGTCCTGCCTCCTCGTGACCACGTGCCATTCCAACCACCCGCCTCGCGATGCGCGCACTACTGCGTGCCCATGGACACCGATTGTATCAGACTGCTGTGTATCAGACACTGGGCCAGGCACTGCAGACCCGGAAGTAAACACAATGGTCAGGAAACCATAGTTCCATGGAATTTATAATCTAGTGGAGGGAGGCAGGTCTCACACATAGGAAATAAGAGTAGTCTATTGGTTACAAGATGAAAGGTGCCGTGTATAAAAATAATTCAGGAAAGAAGAGAAGGGAGCTGTGAGAATTTTCGATACTATATGACATGATGAAGGAGGGCCTAAGTTAGAAGGTGACTTTCAAAACAGGACCTGAAGGAGGTGAGCAAGTGGCATTGTGGATATTCTGGGGACTCGCTGACAGGATGGGAAACAGAACCTCACCCTTGGACCAAGACAGCAGGAGTGTGGAGAAGTGGAGCGATCCGATCATACCACATCTTCATGTAATCCTCCGATTGCTTTTGTAGGGGCGATGGAAAATTTCCCCTTTTCCCTCTGAAGGGTCACTAAAAATAAGCTGACAGAAAACCAGACTTATAGGACTAAAGGTAACTAAGTGTATTTGATCACAGTTGTGTGTGACACAGGAGCTCAGCACGAAGACTCGGAGACCCAGGGGAAACTGCCTGGCTTTAGCTGAGGTCCAGCACAGCAGGCCCGCGCGCAGAGCCGCGTGGGGACAGGCTGTGGCGCTGACCCGCCGCCGCGTGGGAGCCGGCAAGGCCTGTCCGTGTAGACCTTCCCGCGCTCTGGGCAGCGTCCTTCCCCCTGGGTTTGCGGCGGGGCCTCTCGCGGATAGGGGTCTCATGACCTACAGCCAAACAAGGTAGGTCAGATAGTTTCTTTATGGCCAGTTTTTACACGAAGAGACAGGGGAAAGTTAGAGTATTTTTATTCTCACTTTATGTCTGGCTTTGGGAAAAGAGGCTCTGGTTTCTGCGACCCGCCTTAGGGAAGAGGGACTTTCGTGTCCGTGGTTATCCCTGCGGGAGAACAAGGGCCACGGACAAGGAGCGCAGGGGAAACTTCTGCTTCCGAGGCTTTGTTTGGGGTTCCTGCTTTTGAGCCCCAACACTTTGTTGAGAATATTTGGAAAGAGAGCAAGGAAGCTTCCGCAGGGAGATGAGCTACGGTTTTAGATGGAAATTCAGGTGCTAGATGACGCAGAATGGGCCGTGCTGGCAGTAGCACAGGTGGGCTGAGAAGGATGAGAACCTGGTAATTTAGTGACGGGAAAAAGCGTGCTGACGACTGCGGGGCTCGAGAGCCCGGCCTCGACGCCGGCGAGCGGCTGGCCCGTGGAGCGCCGCCTCTGCCCAGCTGGCACGTCTCCCTGCACGTCCAGGTTGACTCCTGAGGCTGATAATAAGTAATATTTCAATTAGAAAAAACAGTGCTAGAGATTTTGTGTGGATGCCCATTTTCCCCAAGACTATGTGCATCCCCAGTTTTTTATCATGCATTTCAAATTGGCCTTCAGGACGGGAACGCAGTGCCGCCCACGGGGCAGTGGGGTGGCTGCTTTTGAGAGCGATGGGCACACAGTTTATTTTCAACGTTTGCCGTCTGATGCGAACACTTCATGCCTCATGCCCTGTGCCCTTCCCCCTCCCACAGGTGGCCTTTTGCCCCACCCTCGCTGCATGTGATGATGGGAACAGCCAATGCAAGTTCTCCAGAAGTCTTTGTCCTCCTGGGCTTCTCTGCCCGGCCCTCACTGGAACCTGTCCTCTTCCTAGTTGTCTCGGGTTTTTACGTGGTGTCTCTCTTGGGCAATGGCGTCATCATCCTGGTCTCCTGTGTGGATGTGCATCTGCACACGCCTATGTACTTCTTTCTTGCCAACCTCTCCTTCCTGGACATTAGCTTCACCACAAGCATCGTGCCACAACTCCTGGTCAATCTCTGGGGACCACAGAAAACCATAAGCTATGGCGGGTGTGTGGTCCAGTTCTATGTCTCCCACTGGCTGGGGGCAACCGAGTGTGTCCTTCTGGCTGTCATGTCCTACGACCGCTACGCTGCCATCTGCAGGCCGCTCCGCTACACTGCCATTATGCATCCAGAACTCTGCCTTGGCCTGGCAGTCACCGCGTGGCTGGGGGGTCTGACCACCAGCATGGTGGGCTCCACACTCACCATGCTCCTGCCGCTGTGTGGGAACAGCCGCATCGACCACTTCTTCTGTGAGATGCCCCTCATCATGCAACTGGCTTGCGTGGACACCAGCCTCAATGAGGTGGAGATGTACCTGGCCAGCTTCATCTTTGTCGTCCTGCCTCTGGGGCTTATCCTGGTCTCCTATGGCCACATTGCCCGCGCTGTGTTGAAGATCAGGTCAGCAGAAGGACGGAGAAAAGCATTCAACACCTGCTCTTCCCACGTGGCCGTTGTGTCGCTGTTTTACGGGAGCATCATCTTCATGTACCTGCAGCCAGCCAGGAGCAACTCCCACGAGCAGGGCAAGTTCGTAGCTCTCTTCTACACTGTAGTCAGCCCCACGCTGAATCCGCTCATTTACACACTGAGGAACAAAGATGTGAGGAATGCCCTCAGGCACGTTGTGTTACAGAACTGCTGTGGTTTTACCGGGAAACGGGGACAAGCTTAGAGACTAGTCATTTCTGAAGAGGTTTAAATATATCAAAATTGATTTTGGAGGGCAGACTATTTGGAACATCATTTTTGTTCTAATATTATTTGAGCTCAAGGCAGGTGGAAGTCTGATGGGAGTGTACTCACACACTACTTTCAGACCAAAATGAGGAGAAAATATGCTGGTTTTGTTTTTAAGTAATTATCATATTATTTTGTTAAATTGTTTTTATTGTTTATTGTTATGTATGTTGATTGTCATCTCATTTTGTCATTTATATTATTAGACAGATGTTCATAGCATCCAGAGAGGATTAGTTCTAAGACCCCGTCTAGATACCAAAATTCGATGCCAATAAAGTCCCTGATATAAAATGGTGTAATATTTGCATGTACACACATCCTCCCATATACTATAAATCATCTCTAGATTACTTATAATACCTAATACAATGAAAATGCTATGTAAATACTTTTAACATTAATAGTTTGGAATCTCGGTTAGTTGAATTCATGGATGCAGAATCCTCAGATTCAAAGGAATGACTGTATACGTGTGTGTTATACACAGTGTTGTTTATAATAATGTCTGCCACTGAGGGTACCGAATCTATAGTCTTTTGTGTTTTTCCCAATATATGTAAACACTCAGTGCGGTAGATAGTATTAACCTCATAAAGATCAGGTAATTACAGAGCTCTTAAGGGTTTTAACAGAAATTTAAGTCTAAATCTATCTATTCATGGATTTGCTTACCATTTTGCCTATAACCCCTTGAGGTATAATAAGAAATACATATTAATATTTGGTCTTTGTTCTGGTTCCTGTCACAAAACTCCTAAAACCCTTGTGATTTCCTGAGGGATCAGGATGATAGGAGCATCTTTTGTTATTCACAATAAGCCCCTTTCAACCACATCTGGTTTATGCTAATAAGGTGACTCTTAGTGGGTCCCTAGATAGCATCACAAAGGCAGCTTGTTGCCAGAGAAGCCAATCTTGTGATTAGAGGGCTGGAACCACTCCCAGACTTCCAGAGAGGGGAGAGAGGTTGAAGATTGAATTCAATCACAAATGGCCAGTGATTTAATCAGTCATGACTAAATGATGGAATCCTTCATAAAAGCCCCTCAACAATGGGGTTCAGAGAGCTTCTGGGCTGTGGAGCACATCCAGGTGCCAAGAGGGTGTTGTACCCCCAAACTCCACAGGGACAAAAGCTCTGTGCTCAGAACCCTTCCAGACTTCCCAAGCCCCTCTTCCTCTGGCTGTGCATTTATATTCTTTATAATACACTCTTTATAATAAACCAGGGAGCCTAAGCAAAGTACCGTCCTGAGTTCTGTGAGAAATTCTAGCAAAGTCTCAAACCTGAGAAGAACCTCTGATTTACAGCCAGTTGGTCAGAAGTCCAGTTGGCAACCTGGGACTTGTGGCTGTCACGTGAACTGAAAGTAGTCCTGTGGGCTGAGCCCTAACCCTGTGGAGCTTGTCACTAGCTCCAGGTAGTTAATGTCAGAATTGAATTGAATTGTAGGAGACCCAGTGGTCTCCAGAGAGAACTGGAGAACTGGTTTTTGGTGGGGAAAAAACCTTACACAGTTGGTAGCAGAAGTGATTCCTCCTCCTAAAGGAGGAATGTAAAGATGCAAATTCCTCAAAAGTGGAACTTGGAGTTGGATAGCCAGGAAATTAATGGTTTCATCAATAACATGCTACACTGATGTATCTGTAACTACCAACCTATAGACTGTCCTGGACTTTCCGTTTTCAGGAAATATAAGGATGTTTTAAATTACCCACTAGTTTATTTCCTTAACTTTTTTGTATGTGGAAGCATGCTTTCACCATTTTTTTAAAAAGACAGATTTCTGAAGGTTGTAAAAATGAACACACAACACCACCCTGACACAGATAGATCACAGAGTAGTAACCGGCTTTGCTGATTTAAAACTCAAAACAGTATTGTAAAGTTGGTAATATTGACAATTTAGAGATGAGAAATTTCCATCAGAAAGATGGTGTTTATGTTCATCTTTGAGCATTACATAAATAGAGGAAACCACAAAATTATCTATTTACAACAATATTTTTCATGGTTATTCTTTAGGCGGCCTTTTTTCCCAAAAAAAACTTTCCCAAAAAAAGCTTGCCTCCAGAAAAGCTTTCCCTTCTTTTCTAAACTGAACACATCCCTAATGTCACACATAGACTCCTGGACTGCTCATTGGATACTGGGAGATTTGGGTCTTGGATAAACATGCAAATATAATATTTGGGCTGATGAACAGTTCAGCCTTATCAATTATTAACACTTTAGAACAGATTCATTGCTAATGGAAGCTAACTGTGTAGGTCTGTAGACAATGAAAGCCAATATTTCATACATGTATGTATTTACTGTAAAAATAAAATATTAAAAATCTATGAAACCAAAAAGTTATCCATATCCACCAAAATACTGGTTCTTTTACAGATTCTTTCTTCTTCTATCCAATGCTCATGTTTACTCATTCACATTGGGGATTAGCAAAGTATGGGCATAACTTTTTATTTCCTTTGCTAATAAGAATAACATCAGTCAAACAGGACATACATTGAGTGCTTAGTATTGCCAGACACATTTCTAAGCTGTTTATCTGAATTCACTCATTTAATTTTGATAATAAAGCTATTAGTTAGGTCGCATCATTCTCCCCATTTAATAATTAAGGAAACTAAGGCCAGATTAGCAGAGCTTAGATGAAAGGAAGCTCATATTTTGACACAGGCAGATGGTTTCTGCCTGCTTCTTGAGTCATTCTTTATGAAATGACATAAAAATGGCCACAGTGACAGTCTTTGCATGTTTTTGAAAACAGTACATAATATTCCAATCAGTGTATAGTCCTTGGTTTCTATCAATTGTCATTTTTAGATATTTGGGCTATTTTTATTTTATCTTTTGCTATGTTATATGATATGCATAGGTTTATTTCTTCTATTGAATTATATTCTTAAAATAATTCCCAGAATATAGGTTATTGGGGTAAATAGTACAATAATTTTAATGGTCTTATGTATATTGCCCTAAAATTGGCAGGTAAAGAGGAAAACAGTTATGATGCAGCTCCATTTACTTCATAAATCTTTCCAAGAACAAAAGAAAGAGAGAGAGAGAAATCCTAAATTTTGTTAACCTCAATCACATATATCACAACCTCCACCTGTATTCTGCATATTCCACCATATTTGCTTATTTGTTTTAATCCATTTACTATTTCATATTGTATCATCATACCCTTCTCTATAAGTCATTTCAGGTATCAGACCCAGAAGCACAGAATTCCACTTCCCCCTGTGCAATGTAGATTCCCCTTTTCTCTGGATTAACAAGATAATGTAAACAAAAACTGCCCGCCAGCCGCCCTGACAACTACCATCCACCACTGAGCCTCTGTGGTTGCTATAAGATAAACAAGAAATGAGGCCGGACTTGGAGCCAGGGTTTTCCATTTTTGCAGAATACAGACATCTGTGTGAATATGGAGCTCTAGCACAGGGTTTGGGATCATGTCATGAAATAAGTACTTGCTTTGGGCCCTGACTCCTCACTTAATGACTATGTGTCCTTGGTCAATAAACCCACCTGTTGTCTTCATCTGTAAAGTGGGGCAATAGCACCCACCTCAAAGGGTCTCTGGGGAAAATAAAGTAATGAGAAATTGGTAAAGTACTCAATGTAGTGCACAGCACAGTAAAAACTCAATAAACATTAGCAGTTGTGCCTCTATATATGCATATAGATCTTTTATTCCTTCAGAAAAGATTTCCAGTTTTCTTTACATAGGCCTTGATTATCACTTGGAGCACAGCCTACAACAGACCACAAACATGGCATTCCAGAGTATGCGGCTGAAGGGGCATCTCTGCTGCAGGAGGTTGCCAACCACCAACTGCAGAGCAATCACTACTGACAAGCAGTAGATGTAGATTCGTTTATTGGTAAATAGCCCTCTGTCTGAAATAAAATGAATTGAGATGAGACCACCAGTTTCCTCTTAGTCCCTGGGAAAGGTCACTTGGTCTTATGACAATATTACACCCCCATGTCTCATCTACTCCTGGATTCTCACTCCCATTGCCCATGGGTTTCCTTAATTCAAGGCCCAAAATGGTGAGATTTGGACTTCCAAAGAAGGAGAAGTAAATGGAGAAGGAGAAATATATGGCCTCCACATATATCAAGATCGTTAATCACTGTTAACTATGTTATCATCGTCGTCGTCATCATCATCATCGACATTGGCATTTTTACCATAATCATCAGCATCAAATTAAACATTACGTAGACCACATTTATGATACGAAGAAAAGAAAAAAAAGACAAATGTGATGAATTTATATGGAATAAAATTATTATACACCTTAGTTAAAATTCTATCTTGAACCACATGCACAATTTTGAATCATAGGTAATGGTGAACTTGAGAAAATTGTCAACACAAAAGCCTTTCCATGGGAAAAAGACTAGGTTAATGATCTCTTTTTGTTTAGAAAGGAAAGGAGTACATTTAGAGAATAGTTACATAGAACTATTGACCTATTCAACTACTCTAATTCTGTAGAGTTCAACTACTCTATCTTATAATAATATCTGTATTTATTTACTGAAAATAAGTATGCTTTGACAAAATACAGAGGATTTCATATATGTTTTACTTTTTTTTTTGATACAGTGTCTCACTCTGTTGCCCGGGCTAAAGTGTGGTGGCGTCAGCCTGGCTCACAGCAACCTCAAACTCCTGGGCTCAAGTGATCCTTCTGCCTCAGCCTCCCAAGTAGCTGGGACTATAGGCGTGCGCCACCATGCCTCGCTGATTTTTTCTATTTTTGGTGGAGATGGGCTCTCGCTCTTGCTCAGGCTGGTCTCGAATTCCTGAGATCAAATAATCCGCCCGCCTCGGCCTCCCAGAGTGCTAGGATTACAGGCGTGAGCCACAGCGCCCGGCCAGAGGATTTCATATATGTTTTCTA